GTAAAGTAACAAGTTGGGATAGAATTGGTTTAAGTAATAATGGAAGAGACATAAGGACTTAGTAGTACAAGTTATGTATTGGGTCAGAAGTAAACATAAATGTAAGTTTGATTCTAAATTTTTTTAAACACATTTAAGATAAAATCCAATTTAGTCTGCACAAATCTGAATTAGTTATTAACATTTGCAAACATCGAGTTGAGAAGAAATGACATCAGGGAACTAATAACTTTCCCATAAGTGCTTTGTCCCCATCTTCAGTAGCCAGTGCAAAGTTGTGATGCCCATGGTACCTAGTAGTACCACTGCTAGTCTGATTAAAAGTTTGTCTCACCTTTCCTCTTTGAGATATCCAGTTAACCTCTGGCCCTGCATAGCCCATACCTGCACTGCTGCATTTGTGAGTCAGTGACTAGTCTAGTTAATGGCATTGGTTTTCTTTGCACCTGCGCAGTGTTTAGAAGAACTGGGGGTGTGATTACATTTACTAAATATAGTAATTTGGGGGCTGGCCTAGCAGTTATCAGGTCAGGCTGTCATGTGGGAGACCTGAGATCGACACCCGATAAGGTGATGGAGTTTTTCTGTCAGGAGACAAAATAAATATCCTAACCTTCACAGTTCGTGACAACAGCACTAACTGTGTGGGTCTAAATCCTCAGGCCCAGGACCCCAGGTCTACACCGCCTTGAAAAGCAGTCAATACTGACAGTAGTGGCAGTTTATAGTATTTAGGGAGGGGGTTGATTTGTTGTCTAAAACTTCCTTCGAAGTGGGAGTGCATCTGCCTTAGAGGCAAGGAACCAGCAGTCTGCATACAAATGAGTCAGATCTGTAAAAGGGATGCACACGCAACACTCAGGTTCTGGAACAGGACTGCAGTCCAGAAGTGGATGAACAACCAGAAAGTTTACCGCTGGTGAACGTGAAGAAGAAAAAGAATTGTCTAAAACAAAGGGTGCCATTGTGACATCAAATAGTCACAACTCCCCTTTAGCCTTCAGTAATTGAGGTCATAGGGTCACTGTACGAATCACTATATAAATTTTGCATTTTTAAGTCCAAGGGACTGTAGTCATTTAATTCTGGACTCCTTAATTCATTTTTTGTTTTTATGTTTAAAATATATATAAATGCATTATGTTTGTTTTTAATTTATTAGTGACCTATATCTTTTAAGAATTTCTTTCAGGAATTAACGTTTTTCGGTTTTTTTTTTTTTTTAATTGAAGGGTTTCTGGGTTGAGATGGTTAACTGTTTGCCATCTGCGAAGATATTGTTATTTTTTGGGATCTGCACATAGACACAAATAGCAGTTAGATTCTCTTAATTAATCACAAAGGATGTAGTATAACGGATGCTTCTTAATAATTTTGTTGTTGTTTGCTACATTATTTCATTAGAAGATGGTTTTGCACATTGTCTGTTTGTGTGCACCCACATAGAGTGGTCTGTGTGTGCACCCACATAGAGTGGTCTGTTTTTGTGCATCCAGATAGAGTGGTCTGTTTGTGAGATTTGTCTGCATGTTTTATTTTATTGTAACTTTAAAAAAAATTAAAATGACTCATATGGGGCCGACCGACACAAAGATGGGCACAGTATGTCACTGCCACCTTGGGTAGAAAGTTGACGAGGCAGGAGAGTTAGCAAGAGACCTAGTTTCTTTCAGGCAGACCATGATAGGCAGGACATTCTGCAAAGGACCTGCTACATATTGATGATGATGATTAATCTGATTGTTTTTTAAAGAGGATAAAACACGACGACAACTTATCACAAAAATTGTGAAAGAGGACATATTCATGCCATGTTAATGACGAAAGACAAACATTAACTTGCTGCAACAACTGGAAAGATATTTAGACAAGGGAAGGTGTCTCCACCTTGCTGCCGTGAGCAAACTTGTGTTTCTCAACAACCCCGAGAGCTATCCTGGTGGTAGCGTAGCTATCAACAGGGCTCCCAAGCTGGAATGGTCGAAGATTAGAGAACAGACACACAGAGACACACTGGTCCTTCAGGTTGGGGGGATTGAAGCGTGGGGCTGACACCTCCACCTTCGTAAAACATCATCTTGTCATGAAACATAAATCTAAGCCTTGATTTGAGGTGTAGACCTGCAATCACTTGGTGTCACAAACTGGAAAGAGAAGACCAACGTGAGAGATGGGTGGAGGCGGGTGATATCTGCAGCATTGAGCCTCAAGGGCTCGGATTGCTGAAGAAGACCAACCTGAGAGATGTGTGGAGGCGGGTGATATCTGCAGCAATAAGCCTCAAGGGCTCGGATTGCTGAAGAAGACCAACCTGAGAGATGAGTGGAGGCAGGTGATATCTGCAGCAATAAGCCTCAAGGGCTCGGATTGCTGAAGAAGACCAACCTGAGAGATGAGTGGAGGCAGGTGATATCTGCAGCAATAAGCCTCAAGGGCTCGGATTGCTGAAGAAGACCAACCTGAGAGATGAGTGGAGGCGGGTTTTATCTGCAGCATTGAGCCTCAAGGGCTCGGATTGCTGAAGAAGACCAACCTGAGAGATGAGTGGAGGCAGGTGATATCTGCAGCAATAAGCCTCAAGGGCTCGGATTGCTGAAGAAGACCAACCTGAGAGATGGGTGGAGGCAGGTGATATCTGCAGCAATGAACCTCAAGGGCTCAGATTGCTGAAGAAGAAGAAAAAGAGAAGATGAAAGGAAAAGAATGAGTGAAGATTATGTCATGGCATGGAGAGGTGTCACCACCAGGTTGGCTTCAGCTACTGTCTTGATGATGAGTTTTACTACGGGGTAATTCTTCTTCTTCTTCTTTCGTTCGCATGAAATAAATTATCTATATCTGCAAAGCCGTCTCTAGTATGAATTTCACTGTCTTTTGTAATTCACTGAAGCGACCCCGTAAAGTTTGACTTCCACAAGCCTCAAGGTCTCTTTTGGCCAAAGGTTTTGCCTGAAAGCGTTGAATCTGGGACAGTCTTGAAGGATGTGATCTGTTGTTTCGGGTGCCAGTCCACAAGTACACATGGCTGATTGGCCAATCTTAAATTTGTTGTACATGTGGGAGCGAAGTCGATTGTGCCCTGTTCTAAGGCGAAGGATAATGACTTGCTCTGGTCTGTCCATAATATGGTAATCATCTTGTGCCAGTTTCGGTGGCATTCTGATTGATTTGATCATTCTCTTCTTCTGTTGATAAGAGACTGGTATGTTAGGTTGTTCTTCAGTTGTTACTATGGGGTAATGATATGACCACCTCAAAAAACACAGTAGTTCTTGTTGGCTCGCATAAGAATTTGTTTTTTTTTTCAACAGATATGTTGATTTTATACTCTGGCAGAAAGTTCTAGCCATTCCTCCACTTCTAGATTTTTGGTTTTTCCCCCAGATATATCCATAACTTTAGTCATCCCTTCTGGGATGCAAGTTTTCGTTTATTTTGAAGCCCCACCCTGGCTTTTGCCAGGGGACACAATATAGCCCAGCATTTAATATGGCCTAACGGCTAAACCCGGTTTCCAGGACCTCTTCACGGGTGATCCTCATCCACATGGTGGCACTTTTGTGTCATCGGGTGTTTATCGCTTGTGTGATGTCCTGTTGGGGTAAAAGTACTACTACTACTTATTCCCCTTAGAACTTGAGTTTTCATCCATTTTACAGATCTCGCTTATTTGTATTCAGACTGTTGGTTTCTGGCCTCTGTGGCATATGCACGCCCACTTGGAAGGAAACATCCCTAATTAGCTTTTACAACATGCGGGTCAGGGGACACTGGGTCTGTTCGGTTTGTCCCCAAAATGGGGCCCTGGAACCCACACAGGGACACAGATGATATGAAATGATGATATCTGCTATCTTGCACAGCTCAGTGGCAGTGCTGATGCTGTTGATGAAGAGTGCACTCAAACTACCACATTTTGTGAGGATGAGAAGAGGGCACTTAGAGTACCCAGTTCCGAGTCTGATCAGCTGGTACACAAGTAAGTTATTTCTTCATCTTTCTCCTTCTCCTCTTCTGCTTCTTCCCTTCCTTTTCTTCATCTTTTTTTTTTTTTTATTTCCCTCTCCTTCTTTTTTTCTTTTCTTCCTCTCCTTCTTTTCCTCCTTCTCTTTATTCTTCTCTTCCTGCTCCTCCCCTCCTCTTTGTCCAGCTCTTCCTCCTCCTCTTCCTCCTTCATCTACTGCTCATTCTTCTTCCCTTTCTGCATCTCTCTTTCTTCCTCCTCTTTCTTCTTATTTGCCTCCCCCTCCTCTCTCTCCTTCTTCATCCTCTGCCCCTCATTCTTCTCTCTCTCTCTCTTTTCTTCCTCTTCCTCCTCTTTCTCCTGCTCTTCATCCTCCTCATCCTCCTCCTTTTCTTCTCCTTGCCCTCCTCTTTCTCCTCCTTTTTTCTTCTTCTTCCTCTGCTCTTCATCCTTCTTCTTTGTCTTCTTCTCCTCTTCTTTTTCTCCTCTACTTTTATCCTTTAATAAAGCATAGGCCCTTAACTATCTCACACCAGACCTATTTTAGAGTTCTTTATGATTGGGTGCATAGTGCAATAACATCTTCTACAGACCCAGACCAAGAAAGAAGGTCACAAATTAATCCTCATTACTTCTCCATGTGGGTTCCTGGACCCCATTTAGTTGGTTAAGGGAGGGTGGACAAGAATAGACCCACCCACCCACTCCAACAAGAATTAATCCACTAATCTGTGACTAAGGAGCTTAAGAGAGCTGATAAAAAAGGAAAAGGGTAAGCGGGGGGAGACACATACAGGAACAATCAGGCATTTTGGGCAGTAGTATTTATGCATTTATAGACAATAAATTATAAGCAGATCATCAGTGACACTAGCCGTCATAAATCCTCAGTTTGGTGGACAGCCCCCAACCCACCCTGTCCCACGCTTCACTAAAAGTGGTAAATATGAACCTAAAGACACAAAGACCTTATAGAGTTGCTTTTATAAGTTTCTTGTTTGTTTGAATGCTCTCAGTTTTCTGGGTTTTGTTTCAGTAGTGTGTCGGAGATGGAAGATGATATCACGTTGAAACCGGCTGAGGTTCTCAGATCTCGATACTTCTACTTGATTTGGCTGATGTTTGTGTTCAACGGCCAGGGAAGTTTGTTCATATCTACTTTGTACAAGGTTAGAGATAGTCTTCTCTTTGGACATTTAGTCATTTCATGTTTTCCTGTGTGCAAGGTTAGAGTAATTTCATGTTTTCCTGTGTGCCAAGGTTAGAGTAATTTCATGTTTTCCTGTGTGCAAGGTTAGAGTCATTTCATGTTTTCCTGTGTCCAAGGTTAGAGTCATTTCATGTTTTCCTGTGTGCAAGGTTAGAGTCATTTCATGTTTTCCTGTGTCCAAGGTTAGAGTAATTTCATGTTTTCCTGTGTGCAAGGTTAGAATAATTTCATGTTTTCCTGTGTACAAGGTTAGAGTAATTTCATGTTTTCCTGTGTCCAAGGTTAGAGTAATTTCATGTTTTCCTGTGTACAAGGTTAGAGTAATTTCATGTTTTCCTCTGTACAAGGTTAGAGTAATTTCATGTTTTCCTGTGTGCAAGGTTAGAGTAATTTCATGTTTTCCTGTGTGCAAGGTTAGAGTAATTTCATGTTTTCCTGTGTGCAAGGTTAGAGTAATTTCATGTTTTCCTGTGTACAAGGTTAGAGTAATTTCATGTTTTCCTGTGTACAAGGTTAGAGTAATTTCATGTTTTCCTGTGTGCAAGTTAGAGTAATTTCATGTTTTCCTGTGTGCAAGTTAGAGTAATTTCATGTTTTCCTGTGTCCAAGGTTAGAGTAATTTCATGTTTTCCTGTGTACAAGGTTAGAGTAATTTCATGTTTTCCTGTGTCCAAGGTTAGAGTAATTTCATGTTTTCTTGTGTGCAAGTTAGAGTAATTTCATGTTTTCTTGTGTCCAAGGTTAGAGTCATTTCATGTTTTCCTGTGTACAAGGTTAGAGTAATTTCATGTTTTCCTGTGTCCAAGGTTAGAGTAATTTCATGTTTTCTTGTTACAAATTAGAGTAATTTCATGTTTTCTTGTGTCCAAGGTTAGAGTCATTTCATGTTTTCCTGTGTCCAAGGTTAGAGTAATTTCATGTTTTCCTGTGTGCAAGGTTAGAGTAATTTCATGTTTTCCTGTGTAAATAGCTATTCATTTAATTTTTTCTATGTGCAAGGGTAGAGTAATTTCATATTTCCCTGTGTGCAAGGTTAGAGTCATTTCATATTTCCCTGTGTGCAAAGTTAGAGTCATTTCATATTTTCCTGTGTGCAAGGTTAGAGTCATTTCATGTTTTCCTGTGTGCAAGGTTAGAGTAATTTCATGTTTTCCTGTGTAAATAGCTATTCATTTCATTTTTTCTATGTGAAAGTTAGAGTAATTTTATGTTTTCTTGTGTGCAAGGTTAGAGTAATTTCATATTTCCCTGTGTGCAAGTTAGATTTATTTCATATTTCCCTGTGTGCAAGGTTAGAGTCATTTCATATTTCCCTGTGTGCAAGTTAGAGTCATTTCATATTTCCCTGTGTGCAAGGTTAGAGTCATTTCATATTTCCCTGTGTGCAAGGTTAGAGTCATTTCATATTTCCCTGTGTGCAAGGTTAGAGTCATTTCATATTTCCCTGTGTGCAAGGTTAGAGTCATTTCATATTTCCCTGTGTGCAAGGTTAGAGTCAGTTCATTTTTCCCTGTGTGCAAGGTTAGAGTCATTTCATATTTTCCTGTGTGCAAGGTTACAGTCAGTTTATTTTTCCTTGTGTGCAAGGTTAGAGTCATTTCATATTTCCCTGTGTGCAGTGTTAGAATCATTTAATGACTCAAGGTTAGTCATTTCATGTTTTCCTGTCTGCAAGATTAGAGTACAGTGTTAGGAGTCTTTTCATGTGTTCAGAGGTAGTCACCATGTTGTTCTTTGTGCAACCTCAAAGTCAACTCACATCTACTGTATGTAACCTTAGATTCATTTCATATTTCCTGTTCTGTTTTTTGGGCAGCTATATCTCTGCTATATCATTGTGTTTTTCCCTTAGATTAATAGTTAAGAAATTGTTGTAGGTTTGCTGACATAATGGCTAGATGCTTGCCTGCCAGTCTGAAAGTATAGGGTTCAAAACCACAGTCTGCTTAATTTTTTGCTTCAGAATTGACCTTGGCATCCAGGTCAACCCAGCCTAAAATGGGTAGCAGGGAATGTTCTAGGAAGTAAAGGCTGCCAGAAAGGTGTTGACAACATCATTCATTGAGCATCATTAGGTCTATAACAAATATAGGTTTATCACTACATGCCCAATGTGCCAAAGACATGAAAAGGGTCCCAAATTTTTTTTTTTTGTCTCAAGAGAAATATGCATATGAAGTCAAATTGAGTCAACAGCCTTTGAAAGTTGATCTCCTATCTTTCTACAGGCGTACGGCCAAACTTTCATATCAGATGATACGTTTATGGCACTGGTAGGCTCCTTTGCTGCTGTCTTCAATGCTGGTGGCAGGATTGTATGGGGAACCATTGCTGATAAATTCTCTTTTAGGGTCAGTATATTTGTTTATAGTTTCAGAAACCATGCATTCATACACACAAACACAACGCCATAGAGAGCCCGGCCACTTAGACACAGTGGAACCAGACCTAGAGGTGGCCCACGCTGGCGATTGATAGATGGGATAGTTGGGGCTGTGAATACCAGCATCTGCTTACCATAGTTTGAGACCAGCAACGGATGCCTCTTCAAAACCTTAAGTGGAAAGGTAGAACAAGACTAAGGAAAATAAGACACTCATAAATAGTTCACATCATGTGAAGCTGCTTTAACCTGACAATTTAGAATGTCAAGAAAAAGATTGCCACAGATATTCCCCTAAATGGCATCTGTTGATTAAATACAAAAATTTGAAATACAGAAGTTCTGAAAAGGGATTTTTGTGTGTTCATGTTTGTAATTGTGAATACCATGTACCAGGAAGAAAAGAAAGACTGATACCCTAAAAGATCTGAACATCAAGGAAGATTGGCTCATAAACAGCATCTTGTCCTGGAAGCTGAAATATTTTGGCCATATCAAGTGCTAAAGTGAATTGGGAAAAAACAAATAATAGCAAAAGACATGGTGCCAGGAAGAAGGGGCAGGAAACGACCAGCACAAAGATGGGTACATGATATTGGTATAAGTGACACTTTGGGTATGAAAGTGCACAAGTCGGGATAACTGGTGAGAGACTGGATTTCTTTCAGACAAACCATGGTGAGAGTGATGTTCTGCAAAAAACCTGTTTCATGTGAAGATTGTAATTGTACATTGTCTATTCATTTCATATGCTGATGAAAGCTTTCTGTCAGAGACATTCACTTGTAATTTGTGATTGTGATAAAATCAGGCTCATGAGTTTCATTGTTTGTTTAGGTTGATATCTTTTTATGACATCTTTTCATGGGAATGAAGGTGAGTTGGTGAAAGAAATAATAAAGAGCCAACCAAAATATTTTGGCCGCATTAAAAGACAAATAAATGAAGAACGTAGGAGGACAAGAAAATATTTATCACTGGTAAACATTATCAAAGGACGAAGATGGAAATGGCTTGGTCACTTTGGCACGATCAGCTCTCCAGTGGACGGCATAAGGAAAAAGGAGATGTGAAAAATCTAAGGAAACACAGAAAAAGACAGCAAAAATGGAAATAACAAAATGCAGAATCACACAGGATACCATAGCAGGAAAGCAGCAGATGGGCGGCTGGAGAGATAACTTGTGAGTGCCTTATGTGTCATCAGTGGCCTAAAGAGGATGTAGACAGACAGACAAATGGATAGATAGATTAGACAGACTAGATAGATAGAAAAGACAACACTCTTTCAAACACCATACAGGAGGGAAAAGCCAGAGCAAGAAAGCCAGAGGTAGACAGCAGTTCAAGTGGGAGGACGATGTCAAGAAAAGGACAAACAAAAGTCTTTGAGAATAAACCGCCAAGACAAGAGACAGAGTGTGCTTACACAGCCAACCTTCATTGTGCAGATGGCACCTGATTGTCTGATTGGTCATAAACACTGATGGTATACTGGAGTATCATATTACTGTTCACGTCATAAGGAAGAAAATAGGGGCTTTTGAGCTGAAATGCTATAGAAAGATTCTCTGAATACCATGGACCAAGAAGAAAAGAAATGCTGATATCCTAAAAGATCTGAACATCAAGGAAGGTTGGCTAGAAAACAGCATCATGTCTCGAAAATAGGAATATTTGTGCAGTGTCAAGCAGTATGGTGGATTGGAAAGAATAGTAGAAGAAAGCATAGTGCCAGAAAAGAATGGCAGGGGCCAACCAGCACGAAGATGGGTTAGAAAGTGTACAAGGAGGGAGATCTGGCAAGAGACCGAGTTTCTTTCAGGTATGCAGTGATGAGAGCACCTCCTGCAAAGGACCTGCTACTTGATGATGATGATTACTGTTAACACATGTTCTCTACAGTATAGCCCAGGTTTTGTGCTATAGAGATGAGGAACGTCATCCCTGGCCTTAAGTGGTTTAGAAAAGAAAAAAATCTAGAAGCAGTATTTACAGCTTATAATTCCTTGTTAGTTAGTGCTGGAGCTCTTACGTCTTCTTTTAATACAGAATAACACTGTATTCTGGAGGGACGGAAAAGGGCCGACCAGCCATTGCTGTGTGTGCACTGAGTTGCCTCTATAACATGTATATTTGAATGTTTTTTCTATGCTTGAATCTGCTTTAATTAATTAGTTGATGTTTGTTTTGGGAAAAGACTTTGTTGAAAGTATTCATACATTTGAAATTAACTGAAGGGGGATAGACCTACTGCCTCTCTAATGAGATGTTATAAAAGGCAACTTATTTCAGGTTCTTCTGAAATTGGATGTGCTGAGCTTATACATTGCTGTCTAGCTGTAAACCTTATAACAGTGGGTCCGCTGCCCTTTGAATGGTAAATGCAGATGAGGAAGAAATAAATTTTTTCTGATGAGTAACCAGTTGAAGGATATGTTCAGGGTAAAGGTGGGCACAGAAGAAATTGAGATACTCATGTGTTTTGCTTGAAAAATCAAGAGACTTTAACATATTCTGCTGCCATAAAAATTATAAGTTGTTTTCCCCACTGGCCATAGATAGGAATCCTAAGGGCAAGGTTTCAACCACTGCAGTGGGTTCACCCCATACTTTCTCTGTTCCTCTGCCAGGTAAAATCAAATGAAATTTCCCCCACTGTTCCATTTGAAAAACTGGTTAACAGACAATTAGTCGCAGCACAATCCATAAATATGAGGATGTAATAAATGGACATGGCAGTTGCTACAGGTGCCAACGCCAACAGTCCCTACCAGAAATGAAGTTTGTCGTTGATGGAAGTAGTCGGGACACAATAAGTCTGTTATATGCATGTAGAATTATTATATCAGGTATTTCACCAATGGTACTGGGTTCAAATTAAAATCAAGATGGAGTATAAAAAAACAAAAACAAAATTCAACTGACCTGGCTCCTAGGTAGACGCAGCCTGAAATGTGTGCCAGTTAATGTCCTAGGAGGTAAGGATGAATGACATGATGTTTACTACATCACCCACTGAGTGTCAAGTCAAGTGTCGCCCAGCTTCTGAGTTGAGTGCATGGTGTGACACTGTGAGCTACGTGTTTTTTTCGTTGGCACAGGAGCGGAGCAACTTTGATGTGACCCGTTTGCTATGAAGCAGAAACTAGAATTACCAGATTACCAGTGTCAAGTGTTTTATAAAAAAAAATATGAGTACCTTCATATGCCCAAAACCCCACTGATATAAAAGGGGTCCTTGTTACATAATTGTGTTTAAGCATGTTGAGACAGCTATGTCAACACTTAAAACCATCCCCATGAGCGATCGGTGACCCATTTTGGGTGGACAAATAATAGACCAGATGTCCTCCTTAAAAGCATGTCATGAAAGGTGACTAACTAGGGGGTTTTCCTTTTGAAGTCAGAGTGCTTCTTCCCTGAGAGGTGAGGAAGCAACAGCCTGCATACAAGTAATCCAGATCTGTTGAAACAGATGTGCACACAGAACCCAAATTGTGGAATAAGACTAAATTCTAGAAGTGGACAAACAATCAGAACATCTCTCCAAATTGTATACCTAGTAAACTTGAAGCAGAAGAAAAGTTAAGACCATGTCATGAGACACCTCTACACTGGAGAGAAAATGACTGATGATTTTGTATGAACTTTAATCTGTACAGGTATCCTCCCTCATCATGTGTGCTGCCTTCACCTGTTTGATGCTGACCCTACAACTGTCTGAACGCGGAGGGAAGCCCCTGTTCTTTATCTATATCTGCCTGCTGTTTGGCTCATTCTCCGGCAGCTTTGCTTTATTTCCAACAGCCACAGCCAAGTGCTTCGGCCGCAAGTATCTTCCCATTAACTATGGACTAGTCTTTACTTCCCAGGTGAGTTAAGATTTTTAAATACTGGAGTATGTTACAAAATATTACATTGGATTATGTAAAACTTGATTTTGTTTTGTAAACATTGTAAATGCTTATATCTGAGAAAAGCAGAAAAAGGGGATGAAATGTAAAGAACAGACGACGGAGATTAGTTTTAGGATACATTTGAAGGCAAACAGCTAAGGTTTAATTGACTAACTAGAAATGATGTCATTTCATTTACTGTAAATTGCAGCTTATAATCCAGCCTCAAGATTGTTAGTTGACTAACTAGAAACCTTACCTGCCTGTGTGTTTTTCGTCATGAGTTAAAGACACTTTCATCCAAACTGATCAATGATTAATATGAAGCAGCGATTATTAACGCATTTTATACCTGCCTATGTCGAAGGTTGTTGTTGGTCCACCACAAGAGATGCGGACTACATGGGTTTTCAGCTGAGCCACTTTTTTTCAAAAATCACCTGTGGTCCCAGGACGACCCAAAAGTGGGTGCCGGTTCATCCAAAGTAGTAATGTTCAATGATCATCAATCTTGTGCCGACTGGACTGATATAGTAGCCCTATAACACCTTTTAAAGCTCACCATATAAGTCGACCCCTAGTTTTTATTTTAAAGGATTTTTTTTAAAGCTTGAAAAATGTGTGGTGCATGTTCTGTTTCTCTCAGTGGGTGTCAGAATTTAAGGATGGTGATTGTTCCTACAGCATGTTGATTATTAATGCACCTGTAGTTGTCATAATCTCCGCCTCTGCTGGTTCCAAGCCTGGATGAGAAAGGAGGAGAGTTGAGCATGGGGCCAGCTCCACCACCCTGTAACAAAAATTTATTTTGTACAGAAACTTTTAGGAAAAGGGAGTCGTGGTGTAGTGGCTAAGCGGCTGCTGATCAGGTCACGTGTTCCAGTCCTAACTGAGCAAGATTTAATCACCTTGGCTCCCAAGTCAACCCAGCCTTGAGTGGGTACCAGGTACAGTCCTGGGAAGTAAAGGTGGCCAGCATGATGCTGGTCACATCACTCACTAAATGCAGACTGGTCTATAAAATATAGGTCTAGCCCTATATACCCAGTAGACCTGAAGGCGTGGAAAAGGATCTTTTTACTGTTACTTTTACTTTCAGAAAATTTCCTGTAATAAATTTAATTGATTCTACAGCATAAAGTGAAATGGAAGAATAGACTACTAACCTTCTATGGCATACAATAGCACAACAGTACAATGCTGGTTTGTTGTCCTACCATTTGAGACTTTGTTCTATCTAAACCTTTTTTTTTCTTTTTACTCTGTGGAGTTCAATGCTTGCCTGGTTTGTTGTGATTAGAGTGTAATGTAAAGTGACTTCACATATACTCAATCACTTCATAAGGAGGGATTAGTGATTAGAGTGTAATGTAAAGTGACTTCACATGTACTCAATCACTTCATCATGAGTGATTAGTGATTAGAGTGTAATATAAAGTGACTTCACATGTACTCAATCACTTCATCATGAGTGATTAGTGATTAGAGTGTAATATAAAGTGACTTCACATGTACTCAGTCACTTCATAATGAGTGATTAGAAAGGATTATCATCCCAGCACTCCGAACAGATCCATAGGTGCTCCGATCATGTCATCAAAAGCTCCACAAGTGTAAAACGTCTGATGACGCCTGTTCCGTGTTGGTTAATGAAACGTCTTGTCCCCTTAGTGAAATGTTCATTTCTTGCAGCTCCAGGCTGTATCCCCATGTTCATCAGTCTAGACAGGGATAAGGAGTCATGTCCTTTACTGCATTATGAGTGAGATGACCAAGTCATTTCTTTCCAGAAAAAAAAATTTCTGGTACTAATTTTTATTTAATTCAATTGGAGCCAGAGCTGTATACAATCAGAAAAGATGTCCTCACATCTGAGGGTTGAACATAAGCCACTATGTTAGCAAGCGTGTATTCTATTCATGGGCCACTGTTGGTTCCTTCAACTTCTTAACTCCACAATTATGATCTCTATGATTTGCTATTCATTTATTTAATTGTTTTTGTTTTGCAGGTGATCACTGCACCGCTGGGAGTTTTTATGTCACAGTCATTAAAAGCCTCGCTTGGTTGGGACGGCTTGTTTTTCTTGATAGCCGGCTTTTCCTTTATAAGTAAGTATCCTTACCCACACAAAAAAATGTCTTTAAACTTAGTAGAAGATTATTTTAATTTTTTCAGGATGACGTTTTTTTTTTTTTCTGGTGTTTGGACAGCTTTAATTTTGAGTAGAATTTTTTTTTTCACTGCAACATAACAAGCTAAAACCTTTCTGAAGAAAAGGTATTGGCTGTGTAGTGACATATATATCAGATTGCAGTGAAATAAATACAGAATATATCTTAACTATTTAGGTATCAGAATTACAACAAGAACTGTTGTCAGTCTGGCTGATATTCATTAGTGACAGCAGCAGTAGGGACAGTTTCCTTTATGATTTTGGTCTGAAAAATCACATAAAACTGGTATCACCCTGTTTTGATAAAAAGAAAACAAATCAAAAATTAAACCTGTCACCTCATTATGCTTGAAAAACAATTATACTTCCTTTAGCTAATTCTAGTTTTTCAAAACATGTTCATACAATTTCATTTTCCTAGCAACCGAAGCAATATTAGAGTGTCTGTGAACGAAGCCAGTTAAACTGCGATCCATTGGAATATGATGGATTCAGAAGCCTCTAAAGTGATTATACGTTCACAAAGAGTTAATGTTCCGGTAGAATATCCCTATATTTCTGGGTTGTTGTTTTTTAACCCATGATATATGAAAATAAAAAATCTGTCACATAAATAAATAGTTGCAGAAATTCATATTTTTCTATGCTTTTGTCTATAGGTTAAGTACCTTGATTGCTGTTGTTATAAGCTCTGCATCCAACATGTTTTAGTTTACACGCAATTGTGTTGGGTCTGTCTGCAGCAGAGTTGAATATTAATTTTAGGTTCAACTTTTTATGCTGCAGTCATCGCACAATGCATGAGCCACAATTGCTTGTGTCTATCAAGCTGTGCATGGTTTGGGCTATATCATTTTAATTTAGCCTGACCATACTAAAAACACATGGCAAAGCATTTGAATATGCAGCATTCTAAATGTTACCTCTTTGGAAGTAAAAACATCTGCTGCAAGGGTTAACAAGTTTGCATCTTTCCAGGTGATAATCTTTGGGGAGCTATGGTATATAAAGCTCATCCAGTCCATAGCATGAAGCCTGGGTAGTATTGTAGATACCATGTGTTGCCCATGTATCATGATCCCTCCCTCAGCCTGCCTTGTTTACTCCATAGAAAAGGTAACATCAGTACATTTAAAATTAAAAAAGCTCTCTGTGTAAGCTGACAGATTAGAAGAGCAATGCTCTGTATGTCAGCTTCCCTCCTAAACCAGCTGTCAGCTTCCCTCCTAAACCAGCTGTCAGCTTCCCTCCTAAACCAGCTGTCAGCTTCCCTCCTAAACCAGCTGTCAGCTTCCCTCCTAAACCACCTGTCAGCTTCCCTCCTAAACCAGCTGTCAGCTTCCCTCCTAAACCAGCTGTCAGCTTCCCTCCTAAACCACCTGTCAGCTTCCCTCCTAAACCAGCTGTCAGCTTCCCTCCTAAAACAGCTGTCAGCTTCCCTCCTAAACCAGCTGTCAGCTTCCCTCCTAAACCAGCTGTCAGCTTCCCTCCTAAACCAGCTGTCAGCTTCCCTCCTAAACCAGCTGTCAGCTTCCCTCCTAAACCACCTGTCAGCTTCCCTCCTAAACCAGCTGTCAGCTTCCCTCCTAAAACAGCTGTCAGCTTCCCTCCTAAACCAGCTGTCAGCTTCCCTCCTAAACCACCTGTCAGCTTCCCTCCTAAACCACCTGTCAGCTTCCCTCCTAAACCACCTGTCAGCTTCCCTCCTAAACCACCTGTCAGCTTCCCTCCTAAAACAGCTGTCAGCTTCCCTCCTAAACCAGCTGTCAGCTTCCCTCCTAAACCACCTGTCAGCTTCCCTCCTAAACCAGCTGTCAGCTTCCCTCCTAAGCCACCTGTCAGCTTCCCTCCTAAACCACCTGTCAGCTTCCCTCCTAAACCAGCTGTCAGCTTCCCTCCTAAAACAGCTGTCAGCTTCCCTCCTAAACCACCTGTCAGCTTCCCTCCTAAACCACCTGTCAGCTTCCCTCCTAAACCAGCTGTCAGCTTCCCTCCTAAACCACCTGTCAGCTTCCCTCCTAAACCACCTGTCAGCTTCCCTCCTAAACCAGCTGTCAGCTTCCCTCCTAAAACAGCTGTCAGCTTCCCTCCTAAACCACCTGTCAGCTTCCCTCCTAAACCACCTGTCAGCTTCCCTCCTAAACCAGCTGTCAGCTTCCCTCCTAAACCAGCTGTCAGCTTTCCTCCTAAACCACCTGTCAGCTTCCCTCCTAAACCAGCTGTCAGCTTCCCTCCTAAACCACCTGTCAGCTTCCCTCCTAAACCACCTGTCAGCTTCCCTCCTAAACCACCTGTCAGCTTCCCTCCTAAACCACCTGTCAGCTTCCCTCCTAAACCAGCTGTCAGCTTCCCTCCTAAACCAGCTGTCAGCTTCCCTCCTAAACCACCTGTCAGCTTCCCTCCTAAACCACCTGTCAGCTTCCCTCCTAAACCAGCTGTCAGCTTCCCTCCTAAACCACCTGTCAGCTTCCCTCCTAAACCAGCTGTCAGCTTCCCTCCTAAACCACCTGTCAGCTTCCCTCCTAAACCAACTGTTAGCTTCCCTCCTAAACCAGCTGTCAGCTTCCTTTCTAAACCAGCTTTCAGCCATAACATTAGGTTTTCAGGTTGCGTTTCCTATTCCTCATTTGCCTAGTATCCTCCCTAATGCGGTGCTCCACCGAAATCTGTTGCCACAACACACTTCATTATTGTAACTGACTCACAGAGATGCTGAGAAAGGTGGAGACAGGTATGCTCCGTGCAGAGTGGCAAGCATCACTTCAGAGGTCCTGGGTAGTTAGCATCCTTTTGATATTTTATCCAGGTCATGCCGGTGTGTTGGGAAATGAGCAGGCGGATAGACTGGCAAGTTCTGCACCACTTGGTGGTGAACTGATGTATGACAAGCTGGATGCTGTGAGCACCCTTTGGGAGCGAGTGAACAGTGCTCAGGAACAGATAGATCATTACGGTCTGAGGAGAATGGCACTGCGAGGAGTTAGAAGGGGCTCTGGCTGACGCTCGACACTCAGACGAAAGGCAAGACGGATATACATTCAGACAGTTACTGGTACCATCGGAATTTTAACTCTTCACTTGCTGCTGAAGATGGTGACGGAGCGCTTAGGGGGGGTGTCCTGAGTGCTCTGATGTTGATTTTTAATTCAGTATTGAGCATTCAATCTGTTGACACAGTGTGGGATGTCAGGTTTGATTTACACCGCCATACATTCAACGTTAATAGAAAACAGGTAGTACCTGCTCTATCCATCTGCTAATACTTCTTTTCTTCTTCTTCGCGTTTACCAGCTGTACACTCTGGCGGAAGGTTCTGGTCGCTCATCCACTACTGAACTGCAGTCCTGCTCCAGAACCTGAGTGTTGCGTGTGCATCAGTTTTACAGATCCCATTCTGTTCAATACAGACTGTTGGTTCCTTGCCTCTCCGGCAGATGCACTCCGACTTCAAAGGAAGCTCCCCAATTAGTCGACTCTTACGACATGCTTTTGGGTAGGCAGTGGGTCTATTCTTGTTTTCCCCACAATGGAGCCACGGAACCCACACAGGGGTCTGCTAACACTGATTTCAACATATATTATAGCACATATATATAACACATCCACATCAGAAATAAAGCTTTCTGATACCTTTGTCTTGCAACACCATTTTCCATGACATTGTACACAACAAAGTTTTGACTCATTTTTGTTTTCTTCAACCATTACAGGTTTTGTACTCTCAATCCTGTTTAATGCAAAGGATAAACATGGCAAAGAGATATAAGTGATCAGTCTCCTATTGCAGCGGTTCTCAAACTGGGTGCCACAAGCATTACCAGTAGTACTGCGGCTTTAATTTAAAAAATTTCAAAATTTGCTAAAGATCAGCGAAGACAGCAGTTTCAAACAGAAATACCATGAAGGAAGCCAAGAAGAGTTCTGTATTCAGGTGTATTTAGAAAACAATGCTCTTGACAAGGTTGCAGTGCATTGTCAACGTATGCTTACATTAAAAAACACAGCAGCAACCTTCAAGTGATTAGAGGGTACAGTTAACTAAACTTCCCATGAACATAAAGGGAATCATTAAAAATTCACTCAGACATTCTTCAAGTGATTTAAGGGTAAAGTTAACTAAACTTCCCATGAACATAAAGGGAGTCATAAAAAATTCACCCAGACATTCTTCAAGTGGTTTAAGGGTACAGTTAACTAAACTTCCCATGAACATAAAGGGAATCATAAAAAATTCACCCAGACAGTCTCATTCATCGCATTAAATTTGCAGTTTTTTTTTTCTTCAAATATTTAAACCGCTTTAAGGATAGTGTGCCGTAAAATAAAAATTGTTCATAAGGGTGCCGCAGCGAAAAAAGTTTGAGAAACGCTGTCCTACTGGACAGCCCTTGCCAGTCACTTAAGCCACGCTTGGTCCAAACTGAGAATATACAGTGAACTTTAACAAATTGTTTTTTGGTTATTTATGCATTGAAATTAAATTGTGTCATTTTACTTGAGAGTTTGATAGTTTGTTTACTTATGAACTATTCCAGTGTTTACTTATTCACATTTTCAGAAAATTCACTTCTTTTTGAAGTGAAGATTGTAATGTTTGCGATGTTTTCAAAGTGGTGCAGTTATTGTTATTTGTATTTTGAAGGTAGCTCATCAGCACACACATAAACACACACACACAAAAAGATTATGAAAGTCATATCTTTGTTGAAAATTGTTGTTTAATTTATGTTAAGTATACAGTAAGATACATGTTTTAATACATCAGTTTCATTTATCTGGTGGGGGCCAGAAGTTATTTATTATTATTGTTGTTATTGTTATCAACATCATTATTATTTGTATGTTTATCAAGGAAGAATCAAATTATCGCCTTAAGAATTAGGGTAAAAACAAATACTCATTTAATTGCACACGATACTTTTTTCTTCTTCTTCTTAGCATTCACTGGCTGTACAGTCTGACAGAAAGTTCTGGTTGTTCATCTACTTCTGGACTTTGATCTTCTTCCAGAACTTAAGTTTTGCATGCAGAACCATTTTACAGATCTGGCTTATTTGTACACAGACTTTTGGTTCCTTGCCTCTCAGGCAGATGCACTCATGACTTTGAAGGATACCCTTAGTTAGTCAACTCCTCTGACATGCTTATTGGATAGGCAGTGGCTCTATTCTTGTTTCCCCCACAGTGGGCCCCGTGGAATCCACACAGGGATTCTCCATGTATTCTGTCCTCTGTCATTTTTTGTTCATCTGGTTCTTCTTCTGTCTCATCATCATCTCATCTCATCTCATCTCACTCATCATCTCATATCATCTTGATCCTCATGTACCTTCTTCCGGTGTCGAGGTGAAGAATAATTTACGGGACAGTGCTAGTTTGTGTGCTTCCTAAATGGAAAAACCCAGAGACTGTTATAATCTATGTCAGTAGCTTGCATGGTCGGCTTCTTCTTGGCTTCCTGCTTGGTCTGTACATCATTGGTTGCTGTGGTATACTGTCTGCTGAAAACCATGTTTAATGGCCAAACCATTTCACTTGTTTTCTTCTAATAAAATCCAGAGCTGGTGTTACCTCTATTAGCCTTCGTATTTCATCATTTCTGATCTTTTCTCTTCTTGTTGCATTCAGAACCTTCATAGGAATCTCATTTCCTTCTTGTAGTTTTTCTTTTTTCTTTTTCTCTCATTGTCCAGATCTGGCATTGATAACACAGGGTTGGCAAAAAGATTGTGTCATACAGTGCTCTTTTGGTTTCTACAGATACATATCTTCTTGTGGATTGTCTTGTGGATTACAGCTTTATTTGCAATCTATGCAGCTTTCAGTTGAACTTGTTCAATTTCAGTAAAACCCTTTTTATTGGCTTCTTACAGAATGCTTGTTAAAGGGACAGTGGGTCTGTTCTTCTTTATCTTCTTCTTCTTCTTCTTTTTCTTCTTTGCATTTGGTTTCATATGTTCAGGTCAGATCGTCAGATGGGCTGCTTCTGATTTCACATATCAGTAGCAGGTCCCTCATGGTTCCCCATAGCTTGCTCTGCACACTTTGCTCTTGAGACCAGGTTTTCTGTATAGTTGTAAGTACTTTGGGCAGGCCAGCAGAATGTACTCAGGTGTTTGCGATCCTGTCTGACATACACAGTGTGGGAGACTGTACAGTACAGTATGTACTGACCGATGAAGGTAATGAATGTATGCTTGTGGCTAAGTACTCGTTAGGTATATCCTCCTAGAAGATATTATGGGACTGAAAGAGTTGAAGGCTTTATTGAAAGAAAACTGTATTTTCGAATTTAAAGAAATAGGCGTTTATAGAGACCCCTGCAGATAGCGAGGCCCTAATCTATAGCATGGTTAGCTTATGCCTCAGTCCAGCACAGCTGCCTAGTCATGCTGTAGTCACATTCTTCCATATTTGTAAAACTGGTGTAACTGCTGCTGTTTTTCCCAGACCCCCCCCCCCCCCCCTCCCCCAATACTTAATTGTGCACATGTGTTTTCTGTCATTAATTTAATTAATTTTTCTGTACCTTATATCTGGTGTTGGTTATGTCATGTTAATGAAAAATGTTGCCATAAACAATTTAATGTCATTAGCCACTTTGGAGATAATTTAGTCACCGGAGGCTTCAAATGAAAACATTAAAACTGATAGAAATTACAATAACCACATCATTGTCTTGTAACCTGGTAGTGTTGATGTTAAGGATGTCAAGAGACTCGAGCATATGTATGGTGACTGTACATCTCATTTTTCCTTGGGACAGTTTCTGCTTTTTTAATTTATTAATTTTTGTAATTCTTTTTTTATTTTTTAAAGGTGTGTCCCAGCTCAAAAATTTAAAAAAGGCAATAATAATCGCTTTTATAAAAATTTAGGAATAAGTTCATGAATAGAACTCACACTTATATCTGTGGAAACCATTAGATTTTATAGTTTTAGTTAGTTCTAATGCCTGAAATATGTTGATGAGAATTTTCATTGTAGCCTGTATTTTTCATTGCAGTTAAAGAGCATATTGTTTCATTTATTTCTGGCGACAGTGGTTCGGGTATTAATTCTGTTGTAGAACGATTAATTCAGGTATAAATACTGTTGTAGAACGATTAATTTACCCATTCACCTCGGTGACCTAAAAATAATGGAAAGGGGGATGGGCATCAGATGAGGTAAAACTGACTTGCTCAAAATAATAGTGAAATGTCCCATTTTCAGCTCAGATTATTATTGGGATGTCCCGTTTTCAGCTCAAAATATTATTGGGATGTCCCGTTTTCAGCTCCAAATATTAGTGGGATGTCAGTTTTCAGTTCAAGATATTATGGTCACCCACCCTAAGCATGTGACATCACAGGTCAGATGACATGCTGACATCATAGTGACAGTTAAGATATGGCCGCCACACTTTTGGCCATGGAGGAGCAGTGTTGTGTGATCTGTTTTGTTTTTAATAAGCCAAGGGATGAAATTCATTGGCGAATGTAAGACCAGTATGGTGGTGCATGCCTGACAGTCCGGTGGGTGTACGAGTGGGGTCGGAAGTCTCACAATGGCGTGACATCTGCCACAAACTGTTCATGACCTGCTTAGGCACAACTCCTTGACAGGAACCCACAAATTAGCCCAGTATTTGTTGGCAGTTGTGTGGTTTTACTAGCCAGTTTTTTTTTTTTGTTGGCTGTTGTGTGGTTTTACTAGCCAGTTTTTTTTTATTTGTTGGCAGTTGTGTGGTTTTACTAACCAATCTGTTTTTTTTTTATTCCTAAGTAGTTTTGGAGAAAGGGAGTGGGAGAATCAACAGCAAAATTCATAATCTGTGTGAATGACCATTGATCACTGGCATCATGAGAGCCACTAGACTGCAATGGTTGAGGAACAATGAGAGAATGTCAGATGACAGAGAGGTAAAAGCTGTGAGCACAAGGGAGTTGAATAGTCCTAGAGCACGAGAGAAACCAAGAAGGCGATGGAAAGATAGTATCCAGACAGACCTACAAACAGTTGGTGTCACCAGCTAGAAAGAGAAGGCCAACCAGAAAGATGAATGTAGGCGGGTGATATCTGCAGCAATGAATTTCAAAGGCTCGGAATGCTGGAAAAAAGAAAGAAGTAGTAGTTTTCAGTTACTGTTTGTATGGTTTCATTGCCAAAATTAACACAGAGTGGTCTACTACCAAATCACCTGCCCTTGACTTCAAAACCTGGTATGTCAGAACTATGAAGCTGTGTTCCTAACCTCTGAGCCAGATACCATTGATTTATTTTAAAAAACATAAAAAAATACTTTTTTTACTTATCAGTTTATGAGGATCAGTGTTTATCTCCTGCATGAGGTGGCATTGAGGATTCCAAACTGTTGTGGAAAAGATTGATTGGATTCAAGAACCGACATCACAGCACTCTGGGCATTCCCATAAGCGCTCCGTCCCCATCTTCAGCAGCCAGTGAAGAGTTCCGATACTAATGGTGCCAGTAGCATTCTGATTAAACGTCTGTCTTGTCTTTCCTCTGATCCTCGAGCATCCGCCAGAACCTCTTGTCACTCCCCCCTGCATCAGTCTCACCAGACTGTGGTGCTCCATCTGCTTCTCCGAACTGTACACGCTCTCCCACAAGGTACTAACCACGTCTGCCTTATTTTGTGGAAAAGACTGAAGATGAAGCTGGGCTGAGATGTCCAATTTCTGTTTGCAATGATAAAATCATTATCAAAGTCAGAGAACGAATACGTAAAGACAGTCTGACTGTGAAGATGACGGCACATGA